TGGCTTTGAAGGGACTCGCAATTGGTGGGGCGTGGTAAGTGATCTGACTGGTGAGGTCAGGGACAGCATCTGTAACTGTTCACTGGGCCTTCACACCAGAGCAACATTGTTCTCCACCACATGATATGTTGGCCACACAGAAGCATAGGATACCCACCTCTTGGCCATCCTGCAGCATTGATCATCTTTTTGCACCTCCATGTTCCCATCACTGCTGGGAAGCTCCCTGAGATATACAGCCCTGTGCACACAGCCAGTCAAACAGTAGGCAATCATAGTAGGGAGGGGGAGCTAAGAGGATGGAGTGAGCCAATGCCGCGTAGACACTTTGCTACCCTCTGTTGTTCATGATGTATTTAGTGATCATCATAGACCCCAACCAATACGTCTCATTACCTGTGGAGGAGGAACGCCACGGGGCACTGCAAAGTATCTGCAGACACGACAGAAACACGAATAACCACGTAAATGGTGAAACGCAAGGGTTTATGAACTGTTTACATACCACTGGTTGTGAAAGAAACTTTAAACATCAAAACGTTTTCAAAATAAACTTGTGCAAATAACATCGTATGGTGGACAAACTAGCTACACCAGATATAATGACCAAGAAACTATGTATAAGTTTTTCAGCCGTTATTCACGCACGACAATATTGCACTTTACTCCTCCAGTCCCTCCCACTGCAATATACTGATCTCCCCTGCTCTGCAACTGGGGTAGAGGGCCCTGTCCATAGTGGAGCCCATTGGCCCTGGAGGTTTAGTCTGACGGCCCTGGGGCATTTGGGTCTGGGCAGGCTAGACATGCCGAGAGACAAGTTGACCCTCCTTGGCTGGAACTTCCAAGTGGGCAGGCAGGTGGAGGTGGAGGGCCTGGCCACTTGCACAGCGTCCTGTCTGAAAATTGTTGAGGGCCTGTGTGCATCTTCTTCTCCAACAGGGTGCCTTGTGGCACAGTCCGGTAGTCTTGTTGGGGGAGCACCTGGACTAGACTCAAATTTCCCTGTCCCACTCTGATCTTGCCTTCGGTCCTGAGGGTGATAGAGTGCAGGTGTGGTCAACTCTCCAACAGACCCTGAGGGTGCTGGGCCTGGCTTTGCATAGCAGCTGCCAACCTGCCCAAGGAGACAGATGATTGGCTGCATTGCTGCAGAGTCTGAGCAATGATGGGCAGTGACTCCATGCAGTGGCATCATTACCCCAGCTTCACTGCAAGTGGGTGAACTGTGAAAGGATGCAGAAATGTGATTTGAACAAACTGAGTGACTAAGGGAATGCATGGGAGATGAAGTATAATTGGATAATTGTCAGATCATTCGTTTTGGTAATAAAAACAGGCAAGTAGATTATTATCTGTCTACAGATTGGGAAACAAGTGGGTGCAGTAAGTCCTGAGTGTGCTTGTACGCCAGATGCATGCAGGTGCAGCAGGCAGTGAAGAAGGCAAATGGTATATTGACTTCCATACTGAAGGGCTGAATGACCAGCTCCTGCTCCTATCTTCTAGGTTTATGTTCCTTGAAAGCCTTCCGACTATTGCTGCCCCTCCCTGTGAATCTGCATGAAGTCCCTCATTGCCAAGACCACAGGTTTATCTGCCACGGGGACTCGGCAGGTGCCTCTGACTGCCAGTGGCCTGGGCAGTTTCTCCCTCACCTGTGTCAGTGTGTGAGGAACTCCCCTCTGAGCGAAATGGGCTAGTCCTTGGGAAAATCACTCATGTTTGTGTCATCTACGATACAGTTATTTTCCTCACCCAAGTCATCAATATATATTGTAAATAATTGCACCACAGCACTGATGCACTCCGCTAGTTGCAATTTGCCATCTTGAATATGGCCCCTTTATCCCAACTCTCTTTTATTAGTTGGCCTAACTAATGCTAACATACTACCCCAACACCATGGGCTCTTCTTCAGTAGCCTAATGTGTGTGGTACTTTATCAAATACCTTGTGAAAATGCAAACATACTGCATTCACTGTTTCCCCTTTGGCTATCCTGCTTGATACTTCCACAAAGAATTCTAATAAATTTGTCAGGCATTATTTCCCCTTCATGAAGCCATGCTGACCCTGCTTGATCGTATTAGTATTTCTAAATGCTCTGCTATGACATCCTTTAAAATAGACTCTAGCACTTTCCCAATAACAGACATTAAGCTAACTGGCCATTGTTACCTGCATTTTTTTTTAACTCTTCTTCTCAAATAAAGGTGTTATATTTGGCAATTTTTCCAATCTTCTGGAACTTTTCTATGGATTCTTGGAAGATTGCTTTCAGTGCATCCACTATCTCTGTAGCTATTTCTTTTAATATCCACCAGACACCACTCCTGCACCCACACAGCAGGCTTTGAAAGATGGTGCGGTCCTGGGGATACTGGTCTAATGGAGGACCCTCACTAAACAGTGAGTTCCTCTGTGAATGGCACATAATAAGATGGAGTGGAAAAGGAATTTGATTCTCACCGTGAGTACTCAAACAACAATTAATGTGATGAGTTTGATAAGATACTGTGAGAAAACCCATTTGGCCTCATGGCGAAAATTACTCTACCAAACTCAACATTACTCGCACTCAGCCAAAACATGGTAAGATTCAGCCGATAGATTTTTTCAAGGCACTGCACAATGGGTAACTGAACCATACAGTTTCAGGTTGACTTGGGTTCAATTCCTCTTCTGGACTGAATCAGTTTGCCTAAGTCCACATAATTGTACGGATGCCACATTTGGGCTCAATCTTTCTGTAAGGCAGGGATCAGATTGGCCAGCGCTCTAACCAATGGCCATTGTTTTAAAATACCATGTGTATGTTGATATCCACTGAAGCTGTCCTTCTCTGTCAAGTATATAGTATATACTTCCTGAACTCTCTCAGATGAGATAACCACTTGGACAAAGTAGTTATGGGTTGCTCCACTCATGGAGCTATATCCAGCAAGTCAGATTATTGAAGAGAGAAGGGAAAGAAATTTCAAGGATGGGGGATATCTGCAGAAACATTGGCATCCATAGACTTTGCCTCCAACTTTCTTTATGTAAGGAAGTTGATTTAACAATATTTGGTTTGCTAGACCTAGACTAGAGAGGGTTAAGTGCCAATTTCAGACAAATACACAGCTGTAGAACTATTTCAAATTCCATTTCCTTCTCCCCAATACAAATTCTATATGAAGTATTTTTGTCTGTGCTACTGGCAGTGACGTGTAAAATCTTGGAAAATGCAAATGGTGCAGAACAAACCATTTTCAAAAATCAGATTACTGTAGCTTAAATAGATAGCCAAATTTGGTAAGGAGCCAGGTTGTTCACAAAGTACACTGCTTGGTAAAGATCATGAGTTCAGGAGAGAAGGACATAGTACACTGTATTTAAAGGAATTATGATATTGAATGATTTGTATACTACATAGAAAGGACATGAAGTTGTATGTGTTTTTTTAAATCCATACTGTTAAACGTTCAAAGTGAAAAGAAGTTACGCTTCATCTCAATCCACCTCCTAGTGGTGAAAGGTACCCACAGCGCACACAGTGCTCTCAAGGTTTTGCACTCACTCACTTCTGCATTAACTTAGCCACATCACTCAGACAAACATATAAGATTAGAGCATGAAGAATGTATGTTTGAAGAGTTCACTCTTCAAAGATAGGGGCAGTGGTACAGTTTTTAGTGCAAATTAAGGAAGCCTTGTCTTGTAGTTGCTTCACACCATTGTGTTCCATAATGTTGCTGCATTGAACGGAGAATTCTCACCATGCTGAGATGGAACTGGATGATGAGAAAGAAAATGACTTTGAAAGAAAACTGAATAATGTCTGATAGGAAGTTAGGTAAATGACATTAAATGAAACTTTATACTCCCCTGCAATCATAAACACTTCCATTTCTTGGTGGACGCGCTATAACATCAATGAGTCGGCAACATTTGCAGAAAGTGTAGTGTTGTTAAACTCCTGAGTAAAATTGGCATTAGGATCAGCAACTGTCTGTGTTCACAAGCTACTTTCAATTTCTCAGCCAATCATAAGCTAAGAGTATGTGAGGACAAAAATGTAAATTTATAAAGAATTTCTCATTGATTTTGACAACTCTTCTTAATATTTTGCTTAATTTATTGCCAATTTAATTCTTTGCTTCCAGCTGAAGACATTAGAATGACAAATGAGCAGGACCTCGTCCAAAATATTAGTTTGATTAAACACACAGCTAAACAGTTCCAAGAACTTTCTATAAAATAGAGAAAGCCATTTAAAATGAAATCTCGCTGGATTGGAAATTGCAATTCATTCCATGATATTCAAGTTCTCTGCTTGAATAGGAGTCTACTTATTGTTTTCACTCGAGGTTGTCAATATTATTTGGACGTAAGTCCAATGAATAAGTAAATGATGAATAATTAAAATTAAACACCTGATCGCTTATGGCACTTAAATGTCATTGCTATTTGCTTATAAAAGTTGGGCCCCTTCTACTTTTGAGTGTCTTTGCACTCTTGAAACTATGTCCAGCAAGAGTTAGTGGGGAGAAGAATAAGAATAGGAAAAGTATGTAGGTTTGAGCTCTTATCAACCGTGTTCAGTGTTGGCATCACTGTCGCTGAGGTAGAAGATTGAGGGTTCAAGACTCCTACTGACTTAACTTTGTTTGTTGACATTGTCACTGCTTCTCTGTCCAATGTCATTTTCCCTTTCAAAAACCTTTTTTTAACTCATCCCCTTCCTCTTAATAATCCTACTGTCCATCTCAAACTTGCCTGTGTGCCCCAGAGTCCTGGCTGAAGTCATGCTGGATCTGTGTGTGATGCATGTGCGGCGTGATGCATTCTAAAAATGTAGAATTTTCTACCTAATGTTAATTCAGTAATGTAGTATGCCACTGTAAAATCTAAAGCCAATTAGCATTTCAGATAAAAAGTCTTTTTACTGTTTAAGTGCAAATTTTTCTTTCAGGGAATTTGAATAATCAATACTGTTCATTTCCTTTAAAAACTAGCTGAACTTTTTCTGGAACTACAAAGGACCAAAGAAGTTTCCTTCTGCATCCAAGAAGCAGCAAGTCTTTTCTCTATGTCGAATGATGTTATATTCATGCGTGGGATGCTAGAAGAGATGAGAGGAAATTTGAGTGGAGCCAAGCACTTTTATGATGAGGTTCTTGCTATAAATCCAAGAAGTGCAAAGATCATGGAACAATTGGTGAGTTATTTTTAATTGAACAGTTCAGTAATGCAGGAAACTAAATCCCTTCTCTCCACCCATGATTTGCCTCTTCCCTTCACTAGAAACGGACATGCCCTCCTATTTCCCCCGTATTTTTCTTGAAGTTCTTAGTTCATGATGAGATATAGTTTCACTGGTGCCAGAAACCCTGTAACTGCGGCAAGCTGTTTCACTGTGGGAGAACATCAATCCTGTTCTTTTCTGTTATCCTTGTATACTCTCAATCTCCAGCCAAACCAACTGGTCTATGATCAGGAATGGAATACTGCCTGTTTCTTTCTCATTGCCTCTAGTTGAGGGACATTAGGAACAATATTGACATTTACGCCAAATGGATCAGCTGCAATAAATAAACTTCACAGATCTGGAAGTGAATTTGTGACTAAAGACTCTGGCCAGTAAAATGAACTCTAATTTATTTAGCATACAACATGATGATAATTAGGATATATATTCATTGCACTAATTTAATTCAAAGAAAAGCAAATCACTTTCAACATTGTCCCAATTAACAATCAGATCACATGTTTATGTAATTCACAATTTTGGATTTTAAGATCACAAGTTAAATAAGTTAAATGACATTATAATGTTAACAATTCTTTATTTTGAAGATTTCAGAATAGATGTGACCCAAGCTCTGCTTGCATTAAATGGAATTCGGGAAATTGTTTGTAGCCAGTTAATTTCCTAATTAGCCTGTCTTGGTTTATTTCCTATGTGAGTAGTTGTTCTAATCCTGTGTGCCTGCTCTGTTCTCATATCCTTTTATTCCCTTTGCCTTTAACCAAAACAAAACCTATATCACACTGTTAACGTAATATAACACCCCAGGAACTCACGACTGTTATAAAGTAAAATTGAATACTGAGCCATCTAAGATGATATTGAGGCAGATGATCCAAAGCTTGGGCAAAGAACTAATTTTTAAAGACTTAACTAGGAGAAAGAGAGGGAAAGAGTCAGAGAGCTTTGCGGAGGAAATTCTCGAGCTTAAGCCCTACACCACTGAAGACAACTTTGAAGCTTTCCAACTGGGGAACAAGCAACTTTGGGTGCTTACAAGGCCAGAATAATGAGCGTAGGTATTTCTGAAATTTTTGGTGTTGGGCGACGTTACAGTGAGATCAGTGAGGGATTTGAAAACGTCAATTTGAAATTGCAGTTTAGCATTTTAAAAGTGAAATGTTGCTTGACTGAGAGCCACTGTGTGTCAGCAAGCACAGGATTACAAATGGGTGTGAGAAAAGTTACATCGGCAGTTTCAGATGACCTCATGTTTGCAGAGAGTAAAATGTCAGAGGCCGGCCATTAGAAAAAGGTCTAGAAGTCACAAAGGCATGAAAAAACTGAAATAATTGGGAAGAGTCAACATGGTTTTTTCAAAGGGAGATCATGTTTAAACTGTTTTTGGAGTTCTTTGAAAGAGAACTTGCTGTAGATTAAGGGGAGCCTGTAGTCTTACTGTACTTGGATTTCTCAGAAGATATTTGATAAGGTGTCACACATAAGAGGTTATTTCAGTAAATGAAAACTCATTATATAGAGGTAACATATCAGCAGGATGGAAGATTGACTGGCTAACCAGCAGAAAACAGGTCCAGGACTATGTGCTAAGACCTCAACTACTCATAATTTGTATAAGTGACTTGGATAAAGGGGAGCGAATGCATGCCAGTTAATTATGCAGATGACACAAAGATAAGTAGGAAATTATGTTGTGAAGAGGACGAAAGAAGATTGAAGACCAATGGAGTGAGGTAGAATGAGTGGGCAAAAATCTGGCAGTTGGAACGTAATGTGCGAAAATGTGAAATTATTCACTTTGGCCGGAAGAATAGTGTTACCATAATATTCACAGAGGAATATAAGTGTTCCAGTGCTTAAGTCAAAAAAAGCTAATATGCAAGTTCAGTAAGTCATTAAGATGGCTGTTGGAATGCTTTATTTTATCACTACAGGAATTGAACATAAAAGTAAGCTTAGTAAAAACTGAAAGAACTGTGCATGCTGGAAATCAGAAACAAAAATAGAAACTGCAGGAAAGGCTCAGCAGATCTGGCAGCATCTGTGATGAGAAATCAGAGTTAATGTTTCGGATTCAGTGACCCTTCCTTAGAACAGTAAGCTTGTTATGCTTCATTTATACAGGTCATTGCTGAGACCACATCTCAAATGCTGTGTGCAGTATTTAATTAAAATCACAGGATGTAGGAGCAGACGTGGGCCATTCAGCCCATTGTCTGCTGTGCCATTCAGTGAGATTGTGACTTAGCTGTGGTTTCAATTTCTAGTCCTGAGAATCTAATGCCTCTTCCTTGAGTTTTTATACAACCGAGCTTTGATTTTTTTTTAAGCGTCAAATAAACCTTCCGGGTTTTAAACAAACATTTCTAGTTTTGAACTCAAACTGAACACTGAAGTAACCTTTTTCTTAACAGTGCTAAACTATCCCACTTCTTCAGGAACAAAAGTCTTACACATTCAGCTTCAGCCAAGACTTCTGCAAACTTGGTAATAGAAATTTACGTTAAGTCATAAAAAAACAAATTCTAGATCCTTGTATCTGAAACCTAATAGCTGTTTACTCTACTCATAAAATTCTCTCAAGAAAACCAAAAATCCATTTCTCTCCAGGAAATGTCTCTTTCTTTCATATTTGTTTTAAATTAAATCACTACGGTCCAGAAATATTTCGAAGCTAATCATGAAATCCCTTCATAGATGCAAACCAAACCCTAAATGCCACTAGTTCAAAATCCAAACTCCAAATGTATGATGCTAAAATATATGTAAATCACACACCCTACATTACAATGTAAGTTCAGTTAGTGCAGAGGGAACTTGAAAGAAGTTTGACATGGTGGAAACAAGAGAACAGTATCAATCTTCTGATCTATATCCAACTCCTTGGACTTAATTTTAGAGTGGAGGATGAAGAGACAGCAGAGCACGGTTTAAGAAGACAGTCTGCACAGGAGAAAAGAATTTGCATTTCAGGATGGTGCTGGAATGATGAACGGGTTCAGCATCTGACAACAGGGACCAGCAATACCTCATGGCCCAGCCAGATCAAGTGGCGAATGACTAAACCAGATGTCCACCATGTTCTTTCAACATGGACCTGGAGAGGCAGAGATAGGAGCCTTGTATATCTAACCTGTTATTAAATGTTCATCTCTAAATCTGCCAGTGCGTTCTACAGCTTTAAAAACCTCTGCAGAGAAAGATGTCTTCTCCCATCAGTGCTAAATCTCTTGTATTTATATTTATCTACACCCCTCAACCATCAGAAATAATCTATTATGATCTTCTGTGTTCAATTGCTTCATAATTTTGAACTTTTTTTTAATTCACCCCATAAAATTCACCATTCCAACAAAAATTGTTCTGCTTTTTCATTGCATTGGAGTTCCCTCACACCAAGCAGATATCAAACAGCGAATTTGTTTTGAAACTTTTCTGCTGTTCAAGATCCCAGTCTTACGCACACCACTTCATTTGTGTCTTCATAAGATTACAGCACCCTAAGATTTTAATTGTTGTTTATTTGTTTTCATTTGAAGCAGCTAGGGTAACCCTGTGCATCCTTATTGAATATCTTACTTAGAAATACGTAGTAAGGTTTTTTTGTTTGCTTCATAGACAGCTCTTGTACTGTCTTTCAGTATATCATCTGTGTGATTCTGTTTCTCACAGCTGTTTTTGAATACAAAAGTAGGGATATTATGCTGAACCTTTACAAAATGCTGTTTAGGCCACAACTAGTGTATTTCATGTATTTCTAGTCGTCACCTTAGGAAGAATGTGAGAGCCCTTGAGGGAGTGCAGAGGAGATTTCTCAGAATGGTTGCAATGATTAGGATTTTAGCTGTAACGTTAGGTTTGAGAAGCTGCTGTTACTGTCCCTGGAGCAAAAGGGATTGAAGGGAAATTAGATAGAAGTGTGCAAAATATAATGAGTTAAGATAAAGTGGACAAAGACAAACTGTGTCCATTAGTTGATGACGCAAGAAATAGGCAGCACAGTTTTAAGGTTTTGGGTAAGTGATGCAGGGACAATGTGATGAAGAACTTTTCTTTTGTACAGTGAGTAGTAATGACTAGAACTCACTGCCTGTGAGGGTCGGAGAAGCTGAGATAAAGAATGATTGCCAAAGAGAATTAAATTTCACTTGAGGGAATTAAACTTGAAGTGCTAAGAGGAAGTAGCAGGGAGAATGGGGTTGACTGGATTGCTCTTCAGAGAGCTGTCATGACCGGATGGCCAAATAGTTCGCCTCTATGCTATTGTGACTCTGCAGGTGGCAATAATTTGTTATTTACTTGCTGATAATAAAATTTTACCAAATAAAATTACTAATACTAATTGAAAGTTAGAAAACTGACAATGGGGTGTACTATTGAGGACAACTAGCATCAGTGGGTCTGTACCTCAACGGGAATCAACAATGAATGCTTGGAAATTGCAAGAAGGTCAGTAATTCAGAGCAGGTCAGTCAGTATTTGGGGGCAAATATGTTAGGGTTTTGGACAATTCCTTCATCAGAACCTTAAAATCAATGCTTTCTTTTATTATTAACTCTCTTGTTCTGAATTATTAGGATTATCTGCTTTAATTTTTGAATTTTATGATTGATTATGGCATTAAATAAGTTATTGCTTCCCTCAAAACGAGTCAGTAGAACTGACTGTATTTTGAGACTCTGAAGCTGTTTAGCCTTAAGGCCTCCTGAATGAGATAGCAATTTTTTTAACTCTCTGTATTTAGCTATCTAACAATCAGGAACATTTTCTTAGGTAAGTCTTCTGTGGTGATTTATAAAAATAGGGGAGACTCATATAGAGCATAAATCTGTTTAAACATAACAGCAGACATGTTAGATCAAATGTCCCATTTCTTTCTTTCTGGGGAGTTCTCTTTATTCACTTAAGAGTTGTTTTTGTAAGAAAAGGGACAAATTGGATTATCGTTG